GCAGGTGCTGCAGGCTGGGGATGAGGCTGCAGATGGTGCCATGGCTGTGGGCCCAGCTCACCAGCTTCGACAGGTTTTCAGAGGAGGTGTGCAGGCAGTCCTCCATGGTGCCGGATCAGCAGGGTCCCTCCTGCCAAAGCAACCAGAGACACCAACGAGGTCAGAGCTCGCGCGCCTCCAGGCACGTAGCAAAGCCCCGCTCCCGAGCGGCCCCGAAGCAAAAACAGAGCCGTGCAGGTAAGCATGCTGTATGCACAAGGTTGGCCAAGGCCATTTATCCTCATCTCATGTGCACTCCTCATAGCACTTGCTTTGGAGCAGTCTCTGCCCTCACTCTGCCCATAAACCAACCTTCATGCCCAAGGGGAGAGATACCAGCACAGTACACAACGAGAACTCCGTCAAACGCCGTCCTCAACAAGCAACTTCACTGTCTGGGTCAGTATAATATGAGGCTAAAATCTCAACTAAAATCCAAAGGCGACTGAAAAGCTGGTGAATGTGTCTTTATGCTTAATGGATGAAAATTAAGTAAAATCTCTGTTTTCTGATCATAGAAATTTTTCTAAAAAGCAAAACTTGTTTTACAAGCACCAAGTCAAAAAATTCCCTGAATATTTATGACACTTTGTTTTGTTTATGCATATTTCTCAAATGTCTCAGATATCCCCTTTTCAACAGATTTCAAGGCTATTAGCATGAAGTCCTGAAAACTTTATTTTCCCATATAAGGACAAAACAAATTCACTCTTTCTTAAGCAATGCTGACACCCATTAGCTGCAAAAAGCTCAAGGAGAAGCTCCTTGTGGAGCTCAAGGAAGAGGCAAAGTTCAGTTTGCACCTACATGACCTTTTCTAACGGACTCTGAAAGATCTGGGGGGTTGTGCTTTCCCCTGAGTGATCTTCCAATGTATCTGATATCAAAATAGTACGTAAGTTCAAAAGTAAGCTTCTGATAAGCAAATGAGCATTAGGACAGGGTACTTCTGTGCTTGTTCTGCCTAGACCCTGCTTGAAGGCCATGATGCTGCGGGAGCAGGTATCTCCGCGGGGCTGAGGGGCTCCTGGTGGTGGTAGGGCTGGCCCAGTGCAGCACAAGGGAGCACAGCAGCTGCATCTCCTGCCTGGGAATTGGGCACCGCCGCGGTGATGTAGGACTGAGTAGGGATGAAGTCAGAACTGTGGCTGGGCAGGGACTGGGCCACGGCAGGGATGGAGCGCGGCACCTCTGCAGCGTCACGGGGCACAGATCCATGGCCTCATCTCCGGGCTGAGATGAGGACCAGGCTTTGGTAAGGTGGAAAAGGGCCCTACGGGGCTTCACTTGGGTCACTGTGGCTTGCTGGTGCCCCCAAAGTTCAGACAACACATTTCAGTGGGAATGCCCCGTTTTGAAATTCACATGGTCATCTAGTATGCACTGAAAATCATCTCTTTCTGCAGTAAATTGTCCACAGATTCCTTACTGTTAAGAAAAATATATTTTATTTTGTTTTTTTCTTAAAATGTTTGCTCTGTATTCCACACACTTTCAGCTTTGAGTTAGTCAATACCCGTTTTCCTATTATTCTGATATTTTAGTATTTTCAGGTATTTTACTGCAATATTTTTTATTTTTTCTTACCAAATGAGATGATACCAAATACAGTACCAAATAAGCAAATGAGACACAGTTAATCAAATGTCTGTAGAGTCCTAGACTAATCACATCAAGACAGACTGGACAAAACCATCTCACCAGACAGGTCCCACTACTGGGATACTTAGGAGTCCATATGTGAGGTAGGAAATGACAATCCCCTTGTGTAATTCGTAAGGACTGTGCCTGCAAATGACCAAACTCAGCTGGCTAGGTAATTTGCAGAAGATGACCCTGGACAGATTCAGCAGTTGAAAACCAGCAGTTACCAACACATAGCCCTCACCCAGAGCCTTAGTTATTATCTATACAAAAACGGACAGTTTCCCAGTTGTCTTTAAAAAATAAGAACATTCGAAATGCTAGATAAAGTCAATAATACAAAAGATATCATCATTCAAAACTGCACATTTATCTGGCACGGGACAGACTGAAAATGTTCTGAGTGACTGCTTTTCTAAAGTAATAGAGATAAATTGTACATTTATATTCCTTTGAGAATATCTGTGTGCCCTGGCTTGCCAGCTGTTTCTTGCCCGAGTCACTTTTTCAAACAAGGTACGACATCTCAATACAATTTTAATTTGCTAAATATATGTTTCAAATTATTCATGACCTAAAGAAACTTCTTCCATCAAAGTAATCAGGACATACAAACTGCCTAATGCTGTCAGACAATACACAATGCCTGGTGGCCTCCCTTTGTCTATACCTGTTGACAGAGAAGTAACTCCATCAACTTTCTCAGCTAGTTACATTTAATTGGTGGTTTCTGCTTGTCTCTGCAAGTCTCTCCCTAACCTTTCTCCTCCCATGCTTTGTGAACATAACGTGCAACACTTGGGCTTCCCATTGCTTTCACCTCATGCAGTTTTCATAACTAAAACATAGCATTCACACTGGTATTACATCTCATTCTGTCCCCTGTCATCCTCTGCAGCAGTATTTTCAGACACAAAACCAACCAAAATATGGCTCAAAAACGCAACTACGCTGTGGCAAACTGCCTCTGGAGAATGCTTTCCCTAAAATGAGCAGAGTTAGTGCTTGCCTTCCTCTGTGTAGCCACCTGTGAGCTACATCGAATGGCTTTGCAGCCTCCATTTCCCCACTGCTCCCTCTCCAGCTCTCCAGTCCAGGGGCAGCCTGTGCTAAGCAAAACTGGGCTCCCAAATAGGGAAGCCTTCCCCATGGTAAGACTCACTATGGGGGCTTCACTGGTACCCAGACCCTATGTCTTTCTTGCCAGGTCAGGAACGGAGGCAGTGTGGCAATTTCTAGATCTTTTACATACTTCCAGGTATTTTTCAAATGCCTTTGAAATTGGCCAAGGGGCCTGAACATGACCGTGGAGGAAAGTCCTCGATAACGGACCAACAGGGAAAAGCTGCATCTTTAGGAAAATAGCTTTATTCTCTACATGATAAGTTTATGTAGTGTTACCAGCAGTAGTCCAGACCACAGCATTATCTGCAATGCAAAACTCCTTGCAGGACTGCTGTCTTTATGCAGCACAATAAATACAAGAGGATGCCGGGCTTGCAAGCTTACTAGGTAAAAAAGTGTTTTTCCTTTTAAAGATACAGCTTAAAAACCTCCAAAGTTTCGTTTTATTGTTTATTTTAAACTTTTTAAAGATGCACTGTCAGTCCTGAATGGGCATCAGCTCCTCTGCTGACTGACAAATGAAAAGCCTTGGAAGAAAATCCCACCACAGGAAAATACATACATGCACACACGAATCCGAAACCATAATTGTTTGAGAGCTATGTGTGTTTGGTTCACAAATTGCAGCAGAAGTTGACAATGCAAAGCAGATTCAACTAGGAGAAAATGTGGCTGATTGATAGACACATAGCAAATCCATCCTCGAGTACCTGACTAGTCATAAATCCTTCAATTTGGAGATATAAAGTGGTAAGGACCAAAGCAATCTTGAAGTTACAAGGTGACTGCAGAAAAAATCCTATTTCTCATGGCTCCAAAGAACACATCTTGACATGAAAGTCTGCTTTGAAAGCTTCATGAAAGAAGAAAGGGACTCAAGAGTTCTATGGAGTTCTCACAGAGGACAGAAAGAACTGGCTTCCAGAAGAGGGAGCTTTAGACAGCATGTTGCTGGCTGGAAGTCCGGTGTTATTTGCTAAATCACATTTTAAAGATTATATAAGTCCTTCATTCAGACTGGCAAGACTCGGTAAGGGGACTCATGCTTGAAACCCTGCTCGCAGGGACTTGGAAATGACAGAGTAGATGGCAAATAGAAGCTGCATATCTTCAGTGTGGATAGCACCAACATTTTAACTGCATTAAAATGGCTAAGAGGATCTGTCTTTGCAGTTCAGCACCTAGCAATATGTAAGTCAGTGTGAAGCATCTCTAGGTTCTGGAAATTCACTACAGTTACCTAGACTCTAAATTAAGAAGCAGATTGTATAGCCGGATAAGTTTAGCTTTTACAATCTCATTTACAACGTGCCACTGTAGTGAGGAATATGTGCACGGCACATACTATGCCAGACAGAGTTATGGTTGCAACACCATTCCTTGAGGTGTGTAAGAACTTGAACCAGAATATCGATTTTGCAACAGGAACACTTTTCTGTGTCTACAACTAGGTGTTTGCCCCAAGCAATTCAGTTGGTGGCCAGTGAATGGTAATGTAAGAACGAACCTTTAAAACCCATCCTTCCTGTTTCAATATGGGACCTGACTCATATAATCGCAACCCGATCTTATGCACAGCAGGATGAACAGCACCCCTTAGAAGGGGGGTTATAGAAGGGGATGCCAGGCCAATCCCAGGATTAACAGCGATGGGTAACTGTGGCCACCACGAACCCTTTATCCTGCCCAGAGAAGAAACTAGCAGCATTTGGGAGGAATGACCAAGCTGCATCAGCTCTTCATCTTATGTGTGCATGAGGGTGTTCCTGCTGGTGTCTTGGGAGGCCTAGGACCTCTTGGGAGGCTCTTTTCTTGGCAGAAAAGAGGTAAACCTGCAATGTGTCCTCCTGTTCTTTCATCTGGAGCACGCTTTGGTGTACCTGCCGCTCAGGAAGGGCAGGGAGTACATTTTGTTGCACAGATGACACAAAACCTTACTGACATCCTGCCCTACCACAGACTTGCAAGGAGTGACAGATTTCCTGCCCAGAATAACCAGACAAGTCGACACAGACTAACACGGAAGAGCCTGTGCATCGCAAGTTGGCATGTTCAAAGCCCTTCTACCAGCCCTTCTACCACCATTATTTAGGAGCATTTCAGGAACTTGTACTGATTTTTGTGAGACGGATGGCTACGTTAGCCAACTCCTGGGATGTTATGCCAAGATCAGCGCTACTGAGAATTGTCTTAAAGCCCAAATTCTCAAGTCAGATTACAATGCAAAAAATCATTTTTGCTGTTAACAGGAAGTATCTTTCCAACAGCTTCAGAAAAGCTCTAAAACCTGAATCCCAAAACTAAAAGGAATTC